CTGGATCTTAGAAACAGGAGTAGAAAACTTGCCTTTTCCCATAGCAGCCAAATATAAGAATTTTCCCTCTGGGCCATTTACTTGTTATTGTGGAAAAATATCTATTTCACATTTTTCTTTTTTGGAACTCTGTTAAAATTGTGGGGCCAGCAGGTGGCATGGAGGTTAAGGCTCTGGATTCCCACATGGCTGACCACACTCTCTCTCTCACTCTCTCTCTCTCTCTGTCTTTCTGATCAAATTGATGAATAATAATAATAAAGTTAGATAAATGATTATTAAAAAAAATTAAAGGCCATTCAGGGCTAGCAAGTGGCATGGTGGTTGGGGTACCAGATTCCCACTTGGCTAATCATGGTTTGAGTCCTAGACCTGGTGGCTTGAAAATCACACTGGGAATATGTGCATGTATGCCCAGGATTCCAAAAGGAGAATGAAGAAGGGATCGTGTCATGGTCTTTCTCCTGGGGATAATTTCTCACTCTCCCATTCTCTGTCTCTCTCTCTCTCTCCAATGAGCATGCATGCCCTATGACTAAAACTTAAAAAAAAAAAAATAGAGACCACAATGATGTAAAATTTCCATCTCTTATTCATTCTCTAATTTAGGAAATGTGTACTGAAAGCTTGTAAGGTACTAGATAATATGTTACATATTTTTACCCCATGTACCAGTTTAAAACATAGCAATTCCTACTTTTCAGGAAGAGCTGAGCAATGCCATGTCAATGATCCAGGCCATTACTTCTAAGCAAGAGGAAATGCAACAGAAGATTGAACAACTTCAACAGGAAAAGCGGAGAGAATCCCGAAAAGTTAAAGCCAAGTGAGTGACTGAAAATAGTTTCCACAGGTAAACCCACGGGTGATGTCCTGTGCAGAAGCTCTGAGTACACTCTCTCCACAATCCACACATAGCTCGCTGGCCACTGTGGTCCACGGATCAGAGCCATAAAAGCTGTTTAATACCAAAAATGGATGGTGACTATTACACAGAAAAAGGCACAGAATACAGTATGATATGAAATGAAAACTATGTAAAATGGCATGTGTTCTTTGGTTACAATGGTAAAACCATATCAAATAACAACTAGGAAAATGTATTTTAAAAATAATGATTGTTGTTAGGGCCAGCAGGTGGTGTAGTGGTTAAGGCAGTGGACTACCACAGTGTCGATTGTGGTTTGGTTCCTGAAGTTGGTGGCTTGAAACTATGCTGGGTTCATGTGTGTGCGTGCCCAAAATCTCAAGAGGAAATGGAGGAGAAGAGATTGCAATGTGGCCATCCCCCATGGGGGGTGATTTCTTGCTTTCTCTCTCTCTGTATCTCCAGCGCACACACACCCTACAGCAAAAATCTCTCCCCCACAAAAATAAATAAATAAATAAATAAATAAATAAAAGATTGTTGTGCTAAGATTATGGAGCCATCAATGAGTATTTCTTTTTAAATTAGTTTTCTAAAATGTATCTATTTCTACAATTGCAAATAAATTTTATATTAAATAATGTCTTAACCAGATTAAATCAAGTAAAGTTACACCACTACATATGCATTATCTTTATTCTTCTATATTTAATATTATGAAAATTAAAATAGAAATGTGAGAATCATATTTGTGTGACCATGGAGAATGGTTTATTGTTTTCAGTTCAAGACCTATAGCTTCCTGGGACCTTTGAGTTTCCTTGTTAAGCAAAAGTAAATGTCCCAAACGAAATGTCATCACTACAATTTCTAAAGCTCTTGATGGTAGGGAAGCCAATAACAGAAAAATAAGACTCTGGTATATTATAATTAGAATACGATGTGTAAATATTTACAATTTTTTTCCTTCCAGTTTAGGTAATAAATGAAGTAATACCACATGGATTGCTAGGACTTTACTAGGTTTTCTTTCTTTCTTTTTCTGAGAGAGACACCTTCAACAGAGTCCTCATACCACAAACCACCCCTAGTCTTACTCAGCCTGGCTCACACGCATGTGTGCATGTGCCCTGCGTGCCAGGGAGATCCCAGGATGAGAATCCAGGACCTTTCCCACGTGGGTCCCGTTGTGTTACTGCTGCACCCCTACATGGCCCTTGACCGTTATTAACCTATAAAAATAGCCATTTGTGGGACCAGCAGATGTTGTGCATTGCTAGACTCCCACATAGTTGTCTATGGTTCAAGCCCTGGACCTGGCAGCTTAAAACTCACACTGGTGCGTGAGCCTGCATGCCCAAAATCCCAAGAAGAGAATAGAGGAGAAGGATTTGCGACCACCCCCCAACCCCCGTCTCTCCAGTGAGCACATGTGCCCTATAGCAAAAATCTCTCTTAAAAAAAAGCCATTTCTTTGTTTCAACCTAGTAATTCAGACATTTTCTTGAATTGTTCTAAACTGAATCTCCTCCTAACCTATCAGCTATTAAGGACAAAATGGTCTTCTCTTTCTTTCCCTTTTCTAGGAAAACTCAAAAAGAAGAACACAGCTCACAGGCTGGGCCTACACAAGCACAAGGAAGCCCTTTCCGTTCAATCAATATCCCTGAACCTGTTCTTCCAAGCGAAGACTTTACTAACCTTTTGCCTTCTCAGGCCTATGAAAAAGGTATAGTTCACAAATCGTACTAAATCAACCACATATGTGTTTCCTTATTCTTAGGGCTTAAGTAATAGTAAGACTGGACTTATATCCATCCTTATAGAGGAAAATTATTTATTGCCCAGATTTTTTTCCTCTTATAACTGGAATTTAGAAGACTCCAGAGGATGTAAGGGACACTGAGAGTCTGCCCAATTTTTTTTTTTTTAAAGATTTTTGTCATAGGATATGTGCACTAGCCAGAGAGAAATAGAGACAGAAAGGGAAAGTGAGAAATTACCCCCAAGGAGTGGCCATGCCACAATGCTTCCTTCTCCATTTTCCTCTTGGGTCTTTGGGCATGCGCACATGTGCTCAGCTGTTCTTCTGTTATTTATTTATTTATTTATTTATTACTTTCCAGTTTGATCAGAGAGAGACAGCAAAAGAGAGAGAAAGGGAAAGTGAGACATTCCCCCCAAGGAGTGGCCATGCCACAATCCCTTCTCCTCCATCCTCCTCTCGGGATCTTGGGCAGGCATGCACACACACGCGCCCGGCATGAGTTTTAAGCAACCAGGTCCGGGACATGAACCACAGTCGACTACATGGGAGTCCAGCGACATAGCCATTACGCTAACTGCTGGTCCCTCCCCCGTTTTTTAAGAGAGATTTTTGTTATAAGATATATGTTCTTGCCAGAGAGACAGAAAGCAAGAAATAATCCCCAAGGGGGGATGACCACACTGAAATCCCTTCTTTTACATTCTCCTCTTGGGATTTTGGGTACACATGCACATGTACCCGGCATGAATTTTAAGCTGCTGGGTCTGGGACTCAAACCATAGTTGACTAGGTGGGAGTCCAGCAATGTAACCATTACACCATCCACTGGTCCTGCATCCAGCATATTTTTCAAGCCTTGGTCTGGGACTTAAACCTCAGAGTTGGTCATGTGGGATCAAGCGCCTTAACCACTATGCTATCTGCTGGCCCCGAGTTTAGTCAACTTTTAAAATGTTCTTTTTCAGGGGAAATACTAATACTTAAAGTTTCAATTGGATTAAAAAATAAATTAATGCACAGCCAATACTGTATCAATCATAAGAGAGAATGATGAACAAATTACCCACTCTAATAAATTACTTTATTGGTGGTCCAACTCAAACCCATTTTTCTCTGGAAAATCAGAGCTGGAGCTATAGGCAGAAATGGTCACCAGTCATGTCCCTGATCTTAGAGATGTCAGAGAGATATTAGAAAATGGCACGCTGGCAGTATCAAAGAAACTGGCTTTCTAAGTGATGTCTTAGTATTTATGATTGACTTGTATTCAATTCCTTTGGGTCCCTCAATGCACTATGTATTCTGTGCCCTCTGGCATTTTGCATGTGCTATTTCCTCTCCTTGTCCCCCTCTAGTTCCCTTCAAGTTTCCAGGATAACTCTTACCCTCCAAGTTCTCTAGACAAGAGCTTTTAAAAACTATTCTTGTTAGAGGGTGTGTGCACTGGCCAGAGTGGGAGAAAGCACCCCCCAATGGGGAGTGGCCATGCTGCAATCCCTTCTCTTTCATTTCTCTATCCTGTTGGGATTTGGGGCATGTGTACACACCCAATGGGTTTTTCAAGCCATCAGGGCTGGGATTCAAACCGTAGTTGGCCATGTGGTATCTGGCTCCCTTGATCACTGGGCTATGAGCTAGCCTGATAAAGGCTTTCATGTGCACATTTTAACTTGAGGTATCCAATCCTCCCCACAGCAGATCTAGGTGAGGTGCTCTTTTAATAGACTCTCACAGCATCTGGTAATTCCTCTACCCACCCATTCTTCCTTCCCTTTCTGCCTCTTTCTATTTCTTTCCCTCCCTCCCTCTACGCCAGGCACAATTTTAGGTGATGGGATATAGTAAAGAACAAAACAAAAATCCCTGTCTTTCTGGAGTCTGTTTTGACTGAGACAGACAATGAACAAGATAAGTAAAAATACGTAGTATGCTAGATAGTGATAGGTGGAAAACAAGTAAAAATGGATTGTGATTTTGGATGGGGTGCCAGGTGAAGACTTGAAGAAAGTAGAGCGTCATAAGAGCCACAGAGGGGAAGAGAAGGTCTTGGTGGGAACAAGACTGACATGTCACAGGACAGCAAGACCAGTCAGTTGAAGCCGAGTATGCAAGGGAAATAATGGGAGATGTGGCTGAGAGAAAAAAGAGGAAAGGAAACAGCAGGCAGGGGTGGGGCAGATAGCCTAGGGGCATATGATCACTATAAGGACTTTGACTTTCACACCAAAATGGGGCGCCATTGGAGGACTAGGCAGAGGAGTGATAGAGCCTGACTTACAGCTTAACAGCACTATTCTGGCTCCTCCTGTTACTGTCATCATCACTTCCACTTCCATGGTTAAGTAATAATTTAGCTGTGGCAGAATTCCAGGTACTATTCAATATTTTAATCAGTACACACACATGTGCGTGCGCACGCATGCACACACACACACACACACACACACACACACACACATATAGTCTTACAGTAATCCTATGAAGTACCAATCTTTTTTTTTTTTTTGAAGAGGTTTTTCACTACAGGGCGCGTGTGCTCGCCAGACAGACAGAGAGAGACATAGAGACAGAAAGCAAGAAATC